GGGTATTCGAGAGATGGGTATTGTGAAGGGTTAGGTATATTTTGATCTTGCTGGGTGACAGAAGAGTGGGTTTTGAGAAGAGAGTCGTCTCCAGCAAGAGGGCAAGAAAGATTATTTCTTTATTATCGTTACAAAATAGGGAATACAAACAATTTATAGACAAGAAACTACCTAAAAAGATAAAGGATTAAGGGAAATCAAAAAGATCAAGGAAATCAATTAGTGATTTCCTCATTGCAACAGAATATTCACACCATAGCTTCCTAGTATACTTTCCAACAGTTAATTAAGCCATTTGCATCGACCATGAAGATACAATCGTTCTCGTGCTTGTATTTCAGATTCCATAGCATCTTATTCTTGTCATTTAATGCATGGTGACAAGTGGTAGGCTCAATCATAGATGACATTGAGTGAATGAGCTGTTTTCTATGATCATTGGATTCATAATGAGAATAATGGTGGTTTGTACTAAATGGGTGAATGCATGAGTTAGGCGACCATCATATATCTGCGACTTAGTTGGCAATTTCTGTATTCTGGCAGAAGTTCTAGGCATGAGAGTGGAATGAATGTTTGCTTCTTCAGCTTCTAAAAAAGTTAGCTGCTCGTGAATATCTAATTTCAGATCTGATGAATATAAAGTTCAAAATCGTTTCCTTGAGTTGGTAAAGGCCAGAGAATCTTGATCACAAGCCATACCTTACGAGAAGATTTTGAATTGGATGTACTATGGGTGAGTTGGGTATGCATCAATATTGTGTTTGGATAAATTGATCCAGCACTAAGAATTGCATATATCTGATCCCCTTCTCCAAGGGCAAGGGGACTAAACAAACTTAACCCCTTGAAAAATAAATTACTAGTACACATAAATGGAGAGAATGAACCCTTTGGGCATTCTTTTATTGGAAGGCTTTATCAACGAAATTGATATACTCTATAGGAGGCGTTTGGTTTGAAGGGATTTGGATATGGAAGGATTTTGAATGTTTGGCGTGTTTGGTTTTTAGGACATGGAATGGAATTGATTTCTATCCTTTATGAAAGAATTTGTAAAAAAAATTAGAAATAATTATAAAATAATTAAATTACCTTATTATTAATTGATTATTGGAAAAGACAGGTTTTTAACATATTTTAAAACATATACAAATCCTTCGAAATCCCTTGAAATCCCAACCACCCCCATGGGATTTTAAAATCCTATGTTTGAGGGGTTTCAAAGAAATCCTAGGATTTCAAATCCGAGCAATCCTGCAACCAAACACGATATTGGAGTGGATTTGAAGTCCAAATCCCCCCAAATCCTTTCCATTCCTGCAAACCAACGGGGACCTAAGTGGTTGAACCATGGTTTAAAAAAAAGCAAGAGGCGTACGCTTTGAGGCTCTCCTTGGGGCGGTTCGGTCCAAAAGCTAAATATGAGGCGCCGCCTCAGGTATCTGTAGTGACGTGCACCTTGGTGGAATGGTGGGGTGAGGCGGGCGACGAGGTAGTGCCAAGGCGTGCGGTTCTTTCTCTGTAAGGAAATAACTGAAAATTAGAAAACTCTAATACTATAAGGAAACCCATTGGCCTCTTTCGTATGTAAGCGCAAGCCCAATTTCTTTTCTTTTGACTAAAACTTCTCCCAAAAGTCAATCGATCAAAAAAACAAAGCCTTATACTATTGTCGACTTCTTCTCCTCTCTGGCTCTCTTCTATATTGCTTCGTATCTCTCCAACTGCTTGTACCTGTTGGTTGCAGCATTTTCTCCTCTTTTCTTTTGTAAGCATATTTAAGTTTCTGCATATTTTTTATATAGTATCAGTATGTATATTTTGTTAAGAATATGTATAAGTATTTTTATATAGTAATCTGCATGTTCTTTTATGTGTATAGCTTCTTTCTTTATAATTTGTTTATATAATTCTGATTTATGTACATATACTGTTTTTATGTACATGGTATATATTCTGTTTTTATGTACATATTCTGCTTTTCATGTATATATGTTGTTTTATGTACATATTCTGTTTTTTATATATAATCTGGTTTAATGTATATAGTATATATTATGTTCTTTATGTTTTTTTTGTTAAATGTCGTGGATTTATGAATTTATGAATTTTGTTGTTTTACTTATTGGGGCTTACGCCTCGACCGCCTTGAGGCTTACTCCTCATGTACCTAAGGGGAAAACGCCTCGAGACTCGTTTCCGTTCTTTAAAACCTTGGTTTGAACACACAAGTTCCTCATCTATTTTGGGTAGATGTTTTGTCATCTTTTTAGAAATTGTCATAAAATGACATAGACTTGATCAATATCACCAAAGCCTGACGTCAGTCATTTTATTAGGAATTTCTTTCCATTTATTATCTTCTTTCTTCTATTTGTTACAGATCCAGATTCAGATGTAATTTTGTTTGCAAAACGGACAGTGAAAGACCTCAAGCTTCCTCCAGCATTTGTAACCCAGATTGCTCAATCCATTCAAGTAAATATTCTTCTTGTAGCAAGAAATTATGTTGATGGTGTTGGATTGTATTTATTGTGTTGCTAATGACATTCTAGACAAGAGCAGTTTATCTAGCATCTTATGCTGCTACTTCTACGTAGACTAAAACAGATAAACGGTTATGTAGATTTCCATCTCTGCTATCTACTGATTGGCTAAATTGTCACCATAACTTTAAAAAGTAAGATGAAAACATTAAGTTCCCTTTAAAATTAAAGATTTTGTTACTTGATAATTTTGTATATGTTGCTAGCTGTTTAAGTAGTCTGCTGTTGTTGGAATTGTATTGATTTTTTGGGCCAAATTCCTTAAACAGAGATTGCAAAAAGACTAGTGTTAACTTAGAAGGACTGATATGAACACCGTATATTTTCGGCAACTACACGTTTGAATTGAGCATTTTTGAAAAGCCAGTGGGGATTAGTCAAATTTTCTGAACTTATTGTCTTTTTAGAGGAAACTGAATTTATGTTTATAAATCCACTTTTCTCAGCTTTGAGGAAACATGACTTCTCTGAACTTGTGTTCATCAATCACCTTTTTCCAACTTGAAGGAGATCTTGTCGGTATTTTCTGAGTGATCATATCAATATTCAATGGAACAATGAAACTGGTGGTTTTAGAAAAGCAATTGCATCAAAACAATATAGTATCAAATTTTATCAGTTGACTTATATTTACATAATTTGAAAACAGTTATATATTAAATATTTGAATGAAATGCTTATGCTTCCACTAAAACGTTCGCTTAATCCTGCTTAGGAGAGAGTAGGCGCTGGAAGGACCTTCAACTGTCTAGGCTCACTTAATACTTTTTAGAACACCTACGGGCCTTTTACCGACACAAACCAAGTAGGCACTTACCAAGTAAGAGTTACCATCCTCACTTACCTTACCGGATAAGATTCTCGTCCATCAAAATAACATAGTATAAGCGTCCCTTAACAGGAAAGTGCTAACCGGTTTAGAGTCACCACCCTCACAGGGTAAGATTCTCAGTTAGCAAAATGGCACGGTAAGATTGTTGGTATAGACCATCATCTCTTGCCTTGTAAGAGGCAAGTGTTTAGCTAACCGGTAAGAGGCGATAAGTGTTTAGTAAACAGCCCCTTGGTGATATTTAGTTGCATGCTTGTTAGACCAACACCCAAAGATTTTTTAGGCTAATAAATGTTACTGCTTTGCTTTGATATTACCTTTCACTAAGTAACATGTTTCTTTGGCTGGATATACAAGTAGATGATTTTTTGGTACTGGTTCTGAACTTGTGATATTTACTAATGCAGTCACAACTTACTGAATTTCGATCATTTGAAGGGCAAGATATGTACACCGGCGAGAAAATTGTCCCTATTAAGGTATTTTTTGTCTATCACATCACATGACAGCTGGTATGTTTTTGTGTAGTCTTTTACTCTTCTTCACGTGGGCTATATGCCTTGGTTTTGATTTTTTTGATATTTGATTGTGGATGGTGACATTTCCTTTGATCTCTACCAGCTCGATCTTCGAGTGAATCATACTCTGATAAAGGACCAATTTTTATGGGTAAGTTTACCTAGTCTTGCTCTTTTCTGGTCCCAATTGTGTGATGAGTATCTAAGATATTTTTATTAAGTTTAGAATAACTAGTATTGGATGCTTAGGGCTTTTGCCTATTTTCAGTGTAAGCTAATTTGATGCAATTTCAGGACTTGAATAACTTTGAGAGTGACCCTGAAGAATTTGCAAGAATCTTTTGTGAAGATTTGGGTGTTGAAGACCCTGAAGTTGGAGTAAGTTATTGAAATGCATTTTTAGTGTCAGATAATCAATGTATCATGGGCTTTGCTGTGACAAAACCTTGTTTCTACAGCCTGCAATTGCATTTGCCATCAGGGAGCAACTTTGTGAGGTTAGGATCTTGTTTGAAGTATACATTCTTATTTGTTTTTGGTAATAAATGAGAAACTTTTTTATGTACGTTGTATAGATTGCGATCCAGAGTGTAGCTTCAGCGAAGGAAACACGAATAAATAAGAAAGGACGCAGGGGGGCTGAACACTTGCCTCTCAGGTATTTGTTTGCTGGTATTTGTTTCTGATGGGATGAAAAGATGACTCTAATTATCACCATTCTTCTCAGTAAGCCAGGTGGAAGTGCATTGGACACCCTAAAGTTATTTGGTAACAAATCAAGTGTCATCAGGTAATACTAATCAATATGTTGAATCCCACCCTGTTTGTTACCATGTATTGAGTGCTTAAAAATTGGTTTTTGGGGCATGTTTGTTGTCATCAGTTGAAATGCTTTAACCACAAGGGTGGTGCCTGATTGGTTTAAGCTTGGCTCCAAAGGTCAAAAGTACCAGGAGGTCCCAAGTTCAAATCCAAGGAGGAATACAAATCTCCTTGTGGCCACGGAGGTTCAAATGCGGTGACTCCGGGCTATCTGCAAAGCAGGTGGTCGCCCTGGGATTAGTCGGCTCGCATAGTGGGTTGGATATCCAGGTTAATTAAAAAAAAATGCTTTAATCGATAATTGTTGTATGGGTTAGTTAAGCTAGTTCTTTGTTTTTTTGCAGGAAACGAAGAGAGTGGGACTTATACGAACCCATTGTTGATATGTTGTCGAATGAGGAAGTTGATGCCCTAGAAGCTAGAGAAGCATAAGATAATCTCTTGCATGATGTCCACAACTTCATTCATTCAGCTGTATTCTGGATTTGCAATTTCAAACAATATATATCTATATAATGCATCAGTTACGGTTATCTTGAAATTTAACGAGTACTATCTTTGATCTTATCCGAAAATAAACGTGACTTTCTACCCTTTCTTGTAGTAGCATATTAGGCGATGTTTGGTAGTTGCTGAATGGTTTAGTGCAGAATGATTAAGAAGCTCATATAGTGCAAAATGAAATATAATTGTTTGGTAATTGTTTACAATGAAATTAGGGCGTTGAATGGTTAAGAGAGGTTCATTATGCAAAATCATTCAGAGGATTTTAGAATCATTAAAAGGTAGACTTTTCTTTTGCCAAACAAGATTTATCTCTTAACGATTCAGAGACTGCCTCTTAATGAAACTATTAAGAGGTAAACAAACAACCCCTAAGTCCTCCCTAAATAAGTAAGGCACTGTGAAGATGAGGAGTTTTAGGTGCCGAATGATAAAGGTCTCTTCTTTCATTTTAGGTGAAAAGTTGTGATAGTGACAAAGGCTTACTTTCTCTTTGGTTGAGCTATAATTCGAAAACTATAACAAATAATAGAAACTAGTATTTTCTTGCTCAACAGTGAAATGGAGCATCAAATACTCTAGTTTTCTAGTTCAATCTCTGAGTGAGATTTTTCTTAAAAGATTCAGGTTTTCGACTCTAACAACCTCAAGTCCATGTATAAAGCATTCAACACAAGTCAGTGATAGAACATCACGTGCTTCATGATTATCGTCATTTTCAAAAGATAAAGATAGGTGAGAATAAATTAAAGACGAAATGATCATATGAGAATAAGAGTTCGGGCTGTTTACTTGCGGCTTAATTAGGCTTATTGGTCTATCTGGTTTATTCGTACAACTCATTTAGGTTGTTTACTTACGGCTTATTCGCACATATAGAAATGGTGTGTTGTCCCCATTCAGCCACAAAAATGACACCCCTACCCCTTATTTAAAACACCACCTCCTTCCCATACGAGAACCCATCGTCGTCCTTTTTATGATTTTTTGTTTAGATGTTTAAATAATTAATATTGTGGGATAAATCGATCATTTATGTTATTCAGACTGTTGGTTCAAAAAAAAAATTTAAACAACACCACCCATTTAACCAGACAGATAAATTTATTCATAGATGACTTAATAAAAAAATTTGGTAAACAGCCCCTTAAAATGAGAAGTACAAGATTCCTATGAATTACGTTTTAGAAAGGAACTGATCTGCATTTCAATAGTCTTGACCTTCAATTATGATTGATCCAAAAGTATCCTTCTCGATATAACTTCTAATCTCATCCGAACTCATCCCTAAAATAAAATAAAATAAAAACATTTATATTTTGAAAAGAATTTAAAACAAAAAAGACATATAAGCATAAAAAGTGGAATTGCCCTTTCCGATCGGTGGTTGTGCGGTCAACCTCAAAATTGACTTTTCATTTTGCCTTTTTGTGTTTACTGAAAATTGAAAGCAGAGAGGGAGGATGGTTGTTGTTACCTAACTACTCTCTATCCCTCTTTTATCCAATGATCAAACCCCCTCCTCCTCCTCCTCTACTTGATTCAGCAATGGATTCTCACCCCAATACGGAGGCTTTGGATGCTCCGCTGCATGCAATCGGCTTTCAGATCGATGAGTTAACACCACACAAGGTCACAGGTCGTCTTCACGTTACTGCCAAGGCTTGCCAGGTGACTGACTTCACTTCACCTATTTTTTCATTCCGATGCTTCTTTCTCGAACTGAAATTGAAATTGAAATCGTAATCGTAGTTGAATTTGTAATTGAACAGCCATTCAAGGTGTTACATGGAGGCGTATCAGCTCTGATAGCAGAGGCGCTGGCGAGTATGGGAGCACATATTGCGTCGGGATGGAAGAGAGTAGCCGGTTTACAACTCAGCATCAATCACCTCAGGCGTGCTGACCTCGGCGATCACGTATTTGCTGAGGCCACACCTATCCACGCTGGAAATACCATTCAGGTCCCCTACTTCTCTACAAAACTAATCAATGCAATATGAAATTGAACAATTTCATTGTTATCAATCACATCATGTTAGTATTGGTGTAATGGATTTTGAGTGTGTAGTATATAAGTAAGTAATCATTGAGCAGGTATGGGAGGTGAGGCTCTGGAAGATTGATTCAGAAAGCAAATCACTTGTATCATCAGCAAGGGTTACTCTTCTCACAAACTTGCCTGTGCCCAACAATGCCAAGGATGCTGCTACCACTCTAAAGAAGTATGCTAAATTGTAAAACCACCTTTCAATTCCAGATGTTGTCAAAGTGCTTGTTCATACTACACTCACTATTCCTTCCTCTTTTATTATCATTACTATTATATATGTTCAAACATTTTGATGGAATTCATGTGAATGAAAAACAGCAAACAACTTGCTTTCATCCATCTCTCTTTCTATTTCTAATTATCCCTGAATTGACAGAGGAGGGGTTTTTGTTTTCTCTTTTGTTTTTGTAATTGATTTCATGATTGCAGATTCATACAATCAAAGTGCAATGACTAACGAATTTGAAGTCAACTCTTCTTTCATTCATGACAAGGTATTTTTATTGTTGTAAATATCTTCATATATTAGGCAAATACCAACTTCTGTCCAATTCTCTTTAGCAGCTACTAGCTTTAATTTGATCCACCTCCATATCGTCGCTAAGCTAAGACTTGTCAAAATGGTAATTGAGTTTAATGTACCCGGATATATTAGGATGAGGGAGCTTAATGGTCATTGAACCCAATACAATCTTTACGGTCATTTGGAATCTTTGGTTTGTAGGATTTGGAATGGAATTGAATTCCATTATACTTATAGATATGGGATTGGAATGGAATTGAATTCCATTATACTTATAGATATGGGATTGGAATGGAATGAAATTCAATTCCAAAGCCTCTTAATTTCCGTTTTAGTAGCAGGATAGGGAATCCAATCTTATTTCAGGAGTAATAAACAATTGGTGGAACATATTTCATTTGATTGTTAGTATGATATGTAGTAGAATTCCTTTAACCTATTGTTACTAATGTATAAGAATGTCACGTGGCCGGTGGTTATATTATTAAACATATATATGCCGTATATACAGATGATAAAAATACGGCCACCAGCTATATTTTTATTTTCTGAGATTTTCTGTAACATAATCGGCTTAGATGATGATTGAATCTTCAAAAGTGTGTTGATTTCATCCAACATATAGGGTTAAATTCCCTCAATATCATCTAAAGAGTTAAATCCCGAATGTAACTGTATTTTGATATATTGTGACGGATTCGTTTTATAAAATACAAATCTTTCTCGGGTGAAATGATGTAACTTGGGTTAGTAGCAAAAATGGATGATCATCGAGTGAACTCTAGTTTACTGAGAATCCTGGTCGATTGAAGATCATGAAAAGCAACTCTACCAAGTTGAGAAGACTGACAAATGCTTCTCTTAACATTAGCATGTTAAAACTTGTCCAACAAGTTTCGCTCACAAATTTTAACCACTATTTGTCCCATCCTCGCACATCAAGAGAACATTGGTTGGTCTACTTCAGGTAGTTTGCCGAAAAGGATGGTACAAGCATGCTGAGATGAGTGAATCCTAAGTTAAAACTTGGCCAAGTTGGTGACAGACATTTAATGCATGGACTACTAAAGATAGAGTATGTGTTTCCCGTGGAAAGTGTGCAAACGCAACTCGAAAATCGACATGTCTGATTTCGTTTTAAGAGTGCTTCATATGTGAATATATCTTTGTGAAATTATTTGTCTTTCAGATAGATTGTTTAGATTAATTTTCGTTTCCTATTTCCTCTTATAATTCTTTGATTTGAGTAAATTATATTCAATAAGGGGCCGTTTACCCAATTGCTTACCCGATAAGCGCTTATCGATAAGAGTTAACACTATGATTTATTTTGATGCGCAAGATTTTAGTACATCAAAATATATCGAATGCAACAATTCACTGGATAAGACTCTTCATCATTCTCATCACTCTTACCCGATAAGATTCTTAGTCCTTCTCATTTTCATCCGATAAGAAAATTTATCCGGAAAACACTTACCAAATAAGTGTTTAATAAACCAAAAGAGTTCAATTTTTAATAAAGAGTTTGTGTTAGTATCCAACTACCTTCCACAAAACATTGATGTTGTGTCATTCATCCATTCATGAGAAACGTATTACTTTATAACTATTAATAATGATTATTTTAATTCTAAAAAACTTAAAATGATGATTTTGAACAAATATGTTAATATTACAAGCTTTTGTCTATCAAATTGATCATAAAATATAAATTAAAACCCACTTTGAAAAGTTATAATTTATCACAAAAATAAATTAGGAATAATAAAAAAGTCTAAAAAACCCAATATACTATGTGATTTTGAACTATTAAATTAGTAGTTTTGAATAAATAAATCGTTGATTTTTTAAAATTGATTAAATAAGTTTTTTTGACCTGTGAAATCGATTAATGTCGTAAAATCATAGGAAAAGTCAAGACAACCCAACGAACTTTCTTATTTGAGTGATCAAATTCGTGGACGTTTTTAAACGAATAAATCATTACACTTGTAAAAGGAAAGAAATATATCATTTTTATAACACTCAGGTTTCGGTGAATGGCTAGGAAAACGGTCGGGGAACGGCCGAGAAAACGGTCGGCACGTGGTACGGAGTGGTCCCCCTGCGGCTTGGCCCGCAGCCTACGCCGCGTAACCCACTATGTGCATGAAGGACACGTGCGGCTTGGCCCATGACTTAAGGTCTCGGGAATGGGTTCTGCATGTTATAAAGTCACGATTTTGGGGTGTTTCCTCATTTTCTCTCCACCGAACTTTCTCCTCACCCTCTTTCAATTTTGAAGATATTTGGAGCCCTAGGGCTGATTTTTGAGTGTTTGGTAGCCATTGCTGGTGATTTTGTAGCTCGTAGGAGTTGAAGGTAAGATTTAAGGTCCTGTCTACCAAATGCTTACTTCGATAAGCGCTTACCAAGTCACTTTTACTTTATCGGATGAATATGGCAAAGACTAAAAATCTTACCCGAGAGCGAAGGCAAGAATCGAGAGTCTTACCCGATAAGTGAGAACGAGGACTCTTACCATGATTAGCACTTACCGAGATAAATTGTTGCATACAATGCGTTTTAGTGAATAAAATCTTACCCGGTAAGTAAGCGATAGTGTTGAATTTTACCGATAAGTGCTTACTGGGTAAGCGTTCAGGTAAACGGCCCTTAAGCCTCCACCTCTTAATCTAGGGCTTGATTTCTTTTACCCTAAGCCCTCATTCTTCTCCTGGGTTCCTTGTTTGTGTTTTGGGAGTAAAAGGGTGTTCTTGAGAAGTTCTGTGTCATAATTCTGGAAGTTTAGTTTACGAATATAAAGTCTTTACCACTTTGGAAGCTAGAGACAGGTTTGAAACCTAAGTTTAACTTAACCTAACAAGTGAGTTCAAGTTGCTTTGTGAAAACTTTGTACATGCCAAAAATATGTATTTTGAATTCTTAAAGCTTTTCACTAATTATTTAACAAATGTGTTTGTTAGTTAACGAGTTTTGCATATTTGGTACATTTGATTTTATAAATCTTATGAAATAATCATATTTGGAGTTCTTGAACTCTTTGGTAAATAAATATTGAGAGTGTTTTATTTTGATGTTTTATTTCATAAATGAAGATTTTTGATGTTAATATACTCTTAGGGGCCGTTTACCAAACACTTACTCGGGCAAGCGCTTACCAAGTTACACTACCTCACCGAATGAATATGGTAAAGACTAAGAATCTTACCCGGTAAGAGCAAGACAAGGACCAAGAGTCTTACCCGGTAAGTGAGAGCAATGACTCTTATCATGGTAAACGCTTACCTGGTAAATTGTTGCATACGATGTCGCTTTAGTAGACTAAAATCTTACACGATAAGTAAATAATAGTGTTAAATTTTACCGGTAAGCACCTATTGGTAAGTGTTTGGTAAACGGCCCCTTAGTGTCTTTGATTTTATAAACCATTTGTAAAATACATTTTATTTTGTTATAAAGTATCTTAGAGATAAATGGCATAACTTTTACTTGGAAGATGAAATGATGGATTTTCGAGTTAATCATACTTTCGGGGCATGTTTTTACATAACCGTTGGTTAAATACGTTTTATTGTTTACAATGACTTTTATTGAACAATCATTTGTGTTGTTGAGCCTTTGGATCGGTTTTGACTCAAATGAGTCTTGAGGGACAATTGTCCGATTTATTGTTCTATGTCGAGCCTTTGGAGTTATATGTGGTTATGACATATTTATTTGAAAAACTGACAAGCTTTGAGTACGTGGTCATTCATTTGAGGTCGTGTAATTTAACCTGTTATACAATGGATCCATAGACATAGGAGTTGTTCACATGATTTTAAATGGGAACTTTATCCCCATTTTGTAGCTACAAATATTTAGGATCAACGGAGGACTCAAGGTATAGACTAGGGATGGTTGCACTTGATGACCGTGTGATTCTTAGCGGAGGACTCGTGTTACAGACCGTGGGTGGTTGAACTTGATGACCGTGTGAGCCGCAGCGAAGAACTCAACCTGTTGATCGTAAGTGGTTGCACTATAATATCCGTCAGATATGTGTGTGTGTGTGTATATATATATATATATCAGTGCATGTTTAAATATATATATATATATATATATATTGAAGTTTGGGTTAGTTTAGGAAGTTGACTAATTATGAGGGGTTAGTTCTGCATAAATCGCTTAAACTTTGCAATTTGGATGATGTGATTGGGCTTGGGCTTTTGTTTGTAAATTAGGGTTTAACCTAACCCTAATTCCCCTTATTTAAGCTAACCCTAATTCCTTTAGCATAACCCTAATTCTTATATAAACCTAACCCTAATACCTTTAAATGTGTTAGCCGCTAGAGAGAAACCCTAAAAGCTTGGAAGAGTCCATTGATAGCCTAGAAGGGAACCCGACGGCCAAAAGCAAGCAAGGTTCCATGGATTTCTTATCGGTTTGAGGTAAGTTTTTGTCCCATTCTCGAATCTACATTTAGTAGTTGGGCTATAAATTTTGGGATTGTTTAAGGAAGATTTGAGTTGTTTCGGTGACTCGAAGGTCACCGATTCGGTCAATAATAATGGCAGCAACTAGGGGTTTGTCAAAATCGTCTTTAAAAAAATTCTTCTCGTTTTCCTCTCGAATTTAATCCTATATGTGCTTAATGTTGGTGCATAGTATGGATATCTATATATATACATATATATATACATATATATATGTATATACATATATATATACATATATATATATATATGTATATATTGATAGGATTTAGGGGCTGTTTACCAAATCTTATCGGGTAAGAGTGCTGACCCGGGTAAGTGCTATCCCG